TTTCCCTTTCCCTCCCCCATGGGTTTCTGTTAAGTTTCTCAGGATCCACATAAGAGTGAAAACATATGGTATCTGTCTTTCTCTGTATGGCTTATTTCACTTAGCATCACACTCTCCAGTTCCATCCATGTTGCTACAAAGGGCCATATTTCATTCTTTCTCATTGCCACGTAGTACTCCATTGTGTATATAAACCACAATTTCTTTATCCATTCATCAGTTGATGGACATTTATTTAGGCTCTTTTCCACCCTTCTAACTAGAAACCCTTGCAGGCATGGATTTTGTCCAGCACGTGGGTGGCAATGAAATTATTTATGAATAAATGAGTTAACGTATCACTTTTTAAAATTGGGGTTTCAGAAAACTTCCAAGTGTGAGCCGGTACTGTGTACCTGGGTCACCAAACATTCCTGAGCTCTGGGCCAAGTGATATGTCAGGGGAGCATGGGGTCTACTGGGTGGGTAGGCATCCAGGGGCCTAAGCACCTTGTGGGTTTGAGTGCCTGCTCTGGGGAGCACCCAGGGAGGCTGATTTTCAGAGGAGCGCATTCAGAGAATAGAACTCCCTCACCGAAGCTCTGCCTCAGCCTCTCTCTCCTCTTCAGGCCGACTCAACATTACCTACCCTATGCTGTTCAAACTGACCAACAAGAACTCAGACCGCATGACGCACTGTGGTGTGCTGGAGTTTGTGGCCGACGAGGGCATCTGCTACCTCCCACACTGGGTGAGTGGGACTGTGCCAGTCTCTGAGAGTCTGAGAGTCTCAGGTTGGGGCTTTGAAGTAGGGAGGCCCCCAGCACGTGGGAGAGCCTCGCCCCTGGAACAATGACATGGCTAATAGAGAAGGGTTTCGGAACAAGGTTCTGCATGCTGGGGGGTGACCTTTCTTTGACAGTAGACCAACTGGTAGCCTAGAAACCACAGCCACCTGTTTACCTGCCATTTCCTAGGCAAGGCTTTTGCGAAAATAATGAAGCAGGAGTATTTTTGAAGTGGTCTGTGTACAGAATTTTAGGTTTCTATTTTGATTTATTTTTTTAATGTTCATTTATTTATTTTAAGAGCACAAGTGGAGGAGGAGCAGAGGGGGGGGGGAGAGAGAGAGAGAGAGAGAGAGAGAGAGAGAGAGAGAATCCCAAGCAGACTCTGCACTGTCAGCACAAAACCCAATGCAAGGCTGGAACTCAAAAACCATGCATGATCTGAGCTGAGATCAAGAGTTGGATGTTTAACTGACTGAGCCACTAGGGCACCACCCCTGGAATTTTAGGTTTTTATACATTTGCTCCCCAAGTCTAATTTCTCCCCCAGTTTTGTCACATCATCGTGTGTGTGTTTAGATATTTGTCTGTAACTGAGTCTTTCCAAAGTGTATCACTTCCTTGCCATAAAAACAAAGTCTCTTTTTTGCACTCAAACTTTCTCTTGAGCCTGGGTCCTTCCTTAATGGTAGGCCCGGCCAGCCTCTTCCCCACGGGAGCCCTGCACTCCCATCACACCTGCTTCCTGGTCCCTCCTGTGTTGTTTCCCAGCCTCTGTCCCAAAGGAGCTCTTACTCACGCCTCAAAGCCCAGACTCAATTTGCTTCCTTGCTCAGTTGCCCTTCCCAACACTTGCCACTTGGTACCTTATTGTCCTGTAGGTCTACAGGTGCCCCTCCTGGGCTGGACGACTTGTCCCACTCATCGGATAGAGTGATGTGGGTGGCTGAAGTGTTGCACACTGACAACTTCTCAGGGCCACTCTGGATCCTCAGAGCTGCTCTGGGACCCATGTGTAGAGGTAAAAGAGGAGGTGGTAACACTGGGGTACACCGTACCTCCAAAGTTCTCTCTCCAACCCACAGACTTGGTGGCCCCTTGTCCAATCTCCCAGGATGCTTTGGACCAGAAAACTAATTGGATCCTTTTTGCCAAGAAATATCGTATTCCCTGGGAAGCTTCTTTAGGTAGCATAGACCTGCCTCTTCCTGGGCTGGCCTTCCAGCTCTTGGCCAGAGCAGATGATTGCCTAGGGGTTTCCAGTTGCTGCTGCAGAGCTGGCCTAATGATCTTTTGACCCTCAGCGGTACGTGAGCAGGTGCTTTCTGTTAGGTGCTCTGTCCCACCCAGAGCTCCCAGGCCTCTTCAGGACAAGTCAGCCTGGAGCAGATGCTGGCCTTTCTTCTAGCACCTGAGGCCTCATCTGCTGGCCGAGATCGAGATCTCCGCCCAGGACCACTGGGAGTGCGTGGAAGCCTGCTGCCTTGTGCCTGTCCTACTATGTGTACTACATTTGTTGGAGCGACCACACCAGCCTGAAGAGTGTCCTTCAATGAGAGTGTGTCAGGACCTCTACAGGCCCACAGGGCCCTGCTCACCCTCTAGCTTCACTCATGACCTCTGCCCTCCTTGGCCCTGGCCTACCTTCCTCTTACCCGTATCTTGTCCTTGGACTGTTAGAGTTACCTCCTAACCGCCTCTGTGAGCCACAGTGCTGGTCCGTCAGTGCCGCCTGGGTGAAGCGTTCTTGAAGGGATGTGATGCCTGGGACTGGCTCCAGGGCAGCCCAGTGTGGGATGCGGTCAGGGAGTGGGGTGTTGAATGAGGAGCCGAGGTTAGCTGTGATCTGTTGAACCGAGGGATGGGTGTGTAGAGGCTCACTCATACGGTTCTCACTGCACTTTTTTTTTTTAAGGTTTTTTTTTTTGTTTTTTGGGGTTTTTTTGGTTTGGTTTTGGTTTTTGGCTTTTTTTTTTTTTTTAAGCTACACCCAACATGGGGCTCAAACTAAACCTCAGGATCAAAAGCTGCATGCCTTACTGACTGAGCCAGCCAGGTGCCCCTGGTTCTCTCTGAGCCTGGGTGGCTCAGTCGGTTGAATGTCTAACTTCGGCTCAGGTCATGATCTCGTGGTCTGTGAGTTCAAGCCTGGCATTGGGCTCTGTGCTGACAGCTCAGAGCCTGGAGTCTGTTTCAGATTCTGTGTCTCCCTCTCTCTCTTTGCCCCTCTCTTGCTCATGCTCTGTCTCTCTTGCTCTCAAAAATAAGTAAAACATAAAAAAAAAAATTGTTTTTTAAATAAATAAAATTTTTTAAAAAAAAGAAAGTTTAAAATAAAAAAAGCAAAAAACCACTCCCAAGACATGCAGGGTTCCTCATTCCTGGCCCACCCTCCTTGTCTCAGACCCTTGAGTGTCAGCCTTATGGTCTCTTGACTTCCTGCACACCAGGTACTCACAAGCCTTTGTTCGTATCTTTCTGCCTTGTTCCTCACCCAGCACCCACCACACAGGGTGGTTTCATAGAAGTATGAAGTTATCTTGTCAGTTTTATGTGACCCCCTGTAGCAGACACCTCTGGGGACTTGTCACCACCCTGCACCTGCCTCAGCTATATGGCCATTCCATTTGAGGTAAGCCCACCTGGTGCCATCATTATCCTACTCCCGTTGCAGCCGTGTTTGCTCCAAGGCCTTGTAAGTTGTGTGTGAGACAACTCAAAGGTATGGAGGGGTGAGCTTCCCTGGGGAAACACTGTCCCTAGGAGACCTGGAGCTAGTGGCCTTTCCTTCTAGGGGACCATCTTTTCTTAGAGGCTGACAGAGACACATTGCTGGCTGCAGGCACCTAGGTAGTACCCCAAGGCCTCCTTCCTTTCACGCCTTTGACTCACTTGCTGGTTGGCTTTACCTTCTTTCCTAACATCAAATCGCAATTAAATTACATGTCCCCAAGTCCTCATCTCAGGCTCCTCTTCCAGGGACCCAAGGAAGAGCCATCAGAATGCCAGACTTTGGCCTGCTGAGCATGTGGTTAGATGATGCTCATGCTGGCCACTTGATTTCCAGGAGCCTCATGTAGCTTTCTTCTTCTTTTAGATGATGCAGAATTTGCTGTTGGAAGAAGGGGGCTTGGTCCAGGTGGAGAGTGTCAACCTTCAAGTAGCCACGTACTCCAAATTCCAGCCTCAGAGCCCTGACTTCCTGGACATCACCAACCCCAAAGCAGTGTATCCTTTTGAGATAAGGGTTCTTCTGGACAAGGGAGGGGTGTGCTGGCAGTCTGTAAAAAGCGAGCTCTTTGTTGAGCATGTGCCTACTTTGGGGACCACACATTTGTTTCTGATTGGAGTTGTGGTTTGAGAATAATGGTGTTTAGCCAGCATGTCCACCCTGGCCTGGACCTGGGCTTGGGCCTGGACAAACACACGCGGCACTCTCTGGGCCTCTTCTGGACACTCTCCAGACACTTCCTTGAGAGCAAAGTGGAACCCTTCCTCCAGGTAGACTGGGGCACCTGGCACAAAGCTCAGTGTATTTGGTGGAAGGAGGCTGGCTGGTTTGCCTCTAAGGCCCAAACCCTCACGGGCCCCTCGTGCCCCACCTCAACCATGAATGCTACTCAGCCTCACCTTTTACCCAGGGTTAATGCTTTTCACTCCAAACCATTGGGGAGCAGTGACACAGTACATTTTTCTGTAAGCAAGAGAAAAGAAAAGGTTTTAGGTTTTAGTGGTTTTTGATAATGTTCTCTGAATGTGAGCCAGACATGGGTGTTGATAATTTAAGAAACAACTGGTGTGGGCAAGGAGCATGCTGTGTGTGGTCTGTGGTCTAGACCTCTAGATTGGAGGCCCTGGCTTGCTTGTTGAGATCTTGTTATAGGGCAACCACTCCACTATCTGTTTTTAAAAGGCTCGATAAAACACAGTTGAACAATACAGACAGGTAGGTAGTTTAAAAAAAAACAAAACTGCTTCTACCCGCCCTACTTGCACACTGTCCCCAACCCCAACCCAGGAGCAAGCTGATGTCGGCTACATCCTGGACGTGTGGGCTGTGAGTCTCCTGCTGACTATGTCTGGACCAGCGTATTGAGTTCCCTATGACTTGGTCCTGGACATGGTGTGGGCTTGGGGAGCTGTGCTCGCCACACTCATCATTGGAGGCTTCCCGTTTTACAGGCAGGGTGACATACTGTGACATGTCTGCTCACCTGATGCCTCAGAGCACTGCCTTGGAGGTGCTTGTCTGGTGATCAGTGCCCAGGAGTGTCTGCCTCGATGACCATGCCCCCTTTTGATCTTCTCTGGATTTTCATGTGTGTTGCGGTGCAGACTTTCCAGATTGTTTTCAGAGGCTGTTTCTATCCGCATGGTTAACTTGTTAGTTCATGGAGAAAGAGTGTCAGTTTTGTCAGCGGAGAGGCAGTCTGGTGCTCCTGGGTCTGGCTGACAGTCAGGATAAAGTCACTCTTAGTAAAGGCAGACTCAGCACAGAGCCAAGAAGGTTGGGCACGTAGAGCTGTGATGCAGAAACCAAGTGGGCTGGCTCTGACAGCTGGGCTGGAGCTAAGGGAAGGGCACCCCAACAGCATGGCATTTTATGCAAGGGAGCGAAGACAGTGTACACAGAATGCCCTTTCACAAAGCTGTTCTCATCTTGAAAGGCTATCTGACCAAGAGAAGGGATCCTGGACAGGCTGAGTCTTCTCCCCTCAAGTCAGACTCTTGAGAGCCTTGCCTGGTATGCCATGTCACAGTGCTGGGTTCTGGAGGAGGGTCGTATGTTTGCCCATTCTATTTAAAGTAATTCTCTGAATTGACAAGGATGATATGGTTAAAGTATTCCGTGTGATTAGGCATAACTCCCTTGCCTGGGCATTTGGGTTATTCAGTTTTAGAGAAATTATTATTATTTGCAATTATAAAAAGGGTTTACAGGTTACCTTTCCCTCTTTAATTTTTATTTTTTTAGTTTTTATTTTAGAACATACTGCCCTAAAGTTGGGTTACCACCTAAAAGATAGAAGAACAAGTGTCAGAACATCTTTGATTTTTGATGAACTTTTGAGGGGGCCTATTTATGATTCATTCAGTCTTTTTTTTCTTCCATACTCCCATAGGATTTTTAAGATCAACTTGTTGAGTGTAATTTACATACAATAAAACTCCGAGTTTGGTCAGTTGACAAACGTGAACACCCATGTACCCAGAACACTTCCATCTTCCCAAAAGGTCTGCTGTGCCCTTGCCTGCCCCTCCTCACCTGATATCCAGCTCTAGGAACCTCCCTGCTGCTTCCCACCCCTCAGAGAGCTGCCTTTCTTGAGGGAACACTTTGTGGCAGTTTCTTTCCCTCAGCAGTGTTGGTGAAATTCATCCATCTAATGAGTTCACCCTCTCTTATTGCTGAGTAATATCTCACTGTATCAAAGCCGTGTGTTTTAGCACCAGCCCAGTATATGCCTGTCTGGTATACTTTATGACAGTGATCATCTAAACCTTTATAGAACTTGTTTCAGATTTAAGGTACCCATCTTGCCATGTTGCCTTAACAGTGTGTGTCTGCAGATTAGAAAACGCATTAAGAAATTTTGCCTGCCTGACCACAGGGGATGTGATTGCCATCAACTACAATGAGAAGGTGAGTGTCTCAACCACGGGGCCAATAGGGCCCAGAGCCAAGGTCAGCGTAGGTCACACCTGAAGACTTGCAGTGTCCATTCTGATGTTTGAATGGGGGGTGGGGGGAGGGATCTTTCATTCTTTCTTTCTTTAAAAATATTTTTTATTTATTTTTGAGAGAGAGAGATAGCACAAGCGGGGCAGGGGCAGAGAGGGAGGGAGACACAGAATCCAAAGCAGGTTCCAGGCTCTTAGCTGTCAGCACAGATCCTGACCCAGGGCTCAAACCCACGAGTCATGAGATCATGGCCTGAGCTGAAGTTGGTTGCTTAACCGACTGAGCCGTCCATGGGTCCCCATTTTTTTTTAAGTTTATTTATTTATTTTGAGACAGAGAACATGTGGAGCATATACACACGAATGGGGGAGGGGTTGAGTGGGAGAGGGAATCCCAAGCAGGCTTCCTGCTGTCAGGCTGTCAGCACAGAATGAATTGGGGTTCTTTTTAGGCAGGGTATGCATGGCTTTTATCAGGATTGCTGCCTACTCTTTGCTTTTTAAAATCCTTATGTGTTCATGTTTAAACCCCTGTAGTAATTCATTCAGCAGCTCTGTTTTGAGGATTGATTGCATTTACAGGTGAATGAGCTTAACATTATTAATCATAGTCTGTATCCCATGGGGCCAAGGGTACTGCTTGTGCCTCCATTAGAACCTCTCCACTGCACCTATGATCTGAGCTAATCCCTTTGCTGGTCTGTGGGAACACAGAAACAAAGTAGCCTGGGTCCTTGTCCTTGTGATTCCCTCCCTTGGACTGGCCCTCAAGGAGCTGGCCCTGCAGGGTGCTCCAAGTGCTGTGGGGCACAGGGGAAGCAGAACCTGGCTTTGCCTGGGGACATTGTCACCTGACACCCAAGCAGAGACAAGAAAAGCAGATATAGACCCTTAAGGAAATCAGTATTGGCATTTTCAGATGCAAACATAAAGTACTTATGTGTAAAATGTTCAAAGATATTTTTAAAAACAGAATCATAAAATTTAGCAATCAATAAAAGACTACCAAAAATAACCAGGAGGGTTTGAAAAACAGTCAAAGAGTTAAATAACAGCTGACAAAGAATTAATGAAATGAAAGCTAAATCTGGAGAAATGCCTTAGAATTCTACACGGAGGGGCACCTGGGAGGCTCAGTCGTCCGATTCTTGGTTTCGGCTCAGGTCATGATCTCATGGTTTGTGAGTTCGAGCCCCAAATCAGGCTCCATACGGATAGTGTGGAACCTGCTTGGGATTGTCTCTCTCTGCCTCTTCCCTGCTCACTCTCTCTGTCTCTCTCTGTCTCTCTCTCTCAAAAATAAATAAGATTAAAAAAAATTTCTACACAAGAGATCAAGGCAATGAGCATAGGGGAGACTGAATTATTGGGTACACTGAGAGAGTCACACACACTGTGAAAATCCCAGCAGGAGAGAATGATGGAGCCACAATATTGTGAAGAGATAATAAATGAAATTGTTTTAGAACTGGCTTTCAGCCCACAGTAACAGGGAGTATAGTATATATCAAACAGGGTGAGTTGCATATACCAAATAAGCGGAGAGAAGGTACTTAGAAAAGAACGGTAAATAGTAAGCCTTTGAACAGCAACTGTTACAGCCAAAAATAGCAGAATACAGTTTGCCCTTGAAGAATATGGGGTTAGGGTCACCAAACCCACAAATAACTTTTCAGTCCCCAAAATTTAACTACTAATAGCCTACTGTTGGCTGGAAGCCTTACCAAGAACATAAACAGTCGATTAACACATATAGTTTATGTTATATGTATCGTGGAGCTGGACAAAAGAAAATGTTGTTAAAAGAGTCACAAGGAGGGGTGCCTGGGTGGCTCACTTGGTTGAGCATCTGACTTTGGCTCAGGTCATGATCTCATGGTTCATGAGTTCCAGCCCCTAATCAGGCTCTGTGTTGACAGCTTGGAGCCTGGAACCTACTTCAGATTCTGTGTGTCTCTCCCTCTGCCCCTCCCACGCTCACACTCTGTGTGTGTCTCTCTCTCCCCAAAATAATAAATAAACATGAAAAAAATTTTAAAAAAAAGAAGTCACAAGGAAGAGAATATACATTTAAGGTATTGTGCTGTAAAACTGCATGTAAGTGGACCAGCGGCAGTTCAAACCCATGTTGTTCAAGGAGCAACTGTATCTTCAGAGGCTGACAGAAAGTAACTGTCACCAAAATCTTTAAAGAATGCAGGCAAAATCAAAATATTTTCAGATAAACCAAATCCCAGAGAGTTTATTTACTAATGGAACTTCAAAAGCATGTGCTTCAGGAATAAGCATTCTCCTAGAAGGAAAGACCAGCATGCCAGAAGGAATGGTGAACAAATAAACTAGCAAATATGAAGTAAATCTTGGTAAATGTCGCCACATAAAGCAGTAATAACGTTTGAGAGCCTCGAGCAAGAACATCTAAAATATTAGAAAAGAATAAGCCTGAAGAGTTGTTCAGAGTGAAAGTGTCTGCAACCCAAGAAAAAGTTCAATCAGTAAAACTAACTGGGAACTCCACATACATGTTGAATGTTTAAGAATAATACAAAACACTAGAAATTGTCATGGAAGTATAGGAAGTATACCTCACGCAATATATTCTAGCATTTCTATAGTGCTCCTTCTAAGATTTTTCTTTCCCAGCTCTGGTTGCAACATAGTTGGTATTATGGTCCACTAATTCCTTGTGACCTGCAGTTTGAAGGCAGTACTGTAGCAAAATGAGAACATGTTCCTCCGGAGACAGGGGTGCATGTGCAGATTTCATAGCAGTTTTGGTAGTAGTGTGGTGCTGGCAAACCCATTGGAGTCAGCCCAGATTTTGACTGGAGAAATTGCGTTACATCCGTACAGTAGCATGCGTTCATTTCTGTTCATCTTTTTTTTTTCTCCCAATTTTTTTAACGTTTATTTTTTTTTTTAATTTTTTTTTAACGTTTATTCATTTTTTTGAGACAGAGAGAGACAGAGCATGAACGGGGGAGGGTCAGAGAGAATCCGAAACAGGCTCCAAGCTCCGAGCTGTCAGCACAGAGCCCGACGCGGGGCTTGAACCTACGGACCGTGAGATCATGACCTGAGCCGAAGTCGGCCGCTCAACCGACTGAGCCACAGGCGCCCCAACGTTTATTTTTGAGAGAGACAGTTTGAGTGGGAGAGGGGCAGAGAGAGAGGGAGATGCAGAATCTGAAGCAGGCTCCAGGCTCTGAGCTAGCAGCACAGAGCCTGATGTGGGGCTTGAACTCCTGAACCATTGAGATGATGATCTGAGCCCAAGTTGGCCACTTAACTGACTGAGCCACTGAGGCGCCCCTGTTCATTTTCTATTAAATAATGAGGAAACTTAAAAACAGACTGGGCACACGAAGCCTTCTCACTTTACTTTGGGGACCCTCCCCCTAATGTTGAGGCTTTTGTTTAATGGTGGGACTCTCCAGACTGTTCTTTGTAAAAGCAGGACATACTCAGGTAAACAGAAAACCAGAAACGATGCATGAAAAAGCAGATTCTGCCACTTTTTGTTCTTATCCTTCTGAATGTTTGTTTGTTTGTTTGTTTTTTGTTCATGTTTATTTATTATTGAGAGCCAGAGAGAGACAGAGCATGAGCAGGGGAGGGGCAGAGAGAGGGGGAGACACAGAATCTGAAGCAGGCTCCAGGCTCTGAGCTGTCAGCACAGAGCCCAACACAAGGCTTGAACCCACAAACCGCGAAATCATGACTTGAACCGAAGTCAGACGCCCAACTGACTGAGCCACCCAGGCACCCCGCTTCTGGATGTTTTGATACACATTTTTGACACACTTGAGATCATCTTAGACATACAGCAATATGACTTTTTTTTAACTTCTCCCATTGACTGCATGGTATTCCGCTGGTGACTATAATTTCTATATATGTGAACAAATATTATTCATTTAGCCAATTTATTGGTAGGTATTTTGAGAATGCACTATTATTAGCAATGTTGGAGTGAGCATTCTCAGAATTTTCTCTTTGGGTATTTAGCTAATTATTTGCTTAGAATAAATTCCTAGAAGTGAACTTCCTGAGATAAAGGTTGTGTCTTTTGCAATTTGATGCATAACTACCTTGTCTGATTTGAACCACTTATGGGCATCAAAGCAGCCTTCCTCCACAAAGGCAGCTCCCTTGTCATAGCAAGAGGTGCATCTGGGGGAGGGGGTCATGGAGGTGAATGGTGTGTCTGCGAGCCTAGTAGGGAGCCACAGTAACATGAATGACGACAGCCCCCAATGCTGCCATGAACTGTGAAACTGATTTTTGTTTTTTTCCTACAGATTTATGAACTGCGGGTGATGGAGACCAAGCCTGACAAAGCCGTGTCCATCATTGAGTGTGACATGAATGTGAGTACCTTTGCTGCTTACAAGTGCGCTTGGGGTGAAGGAAGATGGGCAGTTGATGGCCCCTGCAGGCCAGTTCCCCTCGAGGGTGTCATGTAGCCCCTGGGACTGTTTGGGTGAAAGAGGAGGAAGATGATATCAGAACATTATAAGGAGGCTGCTGACCTTATGATCCTTCTTAGACCAAGAGAACTGGCAGAGTTGTAGCCAGTTCTGAGATGGCTGCACCCACCAGCATCTTAGACATGCTAAAGAAGGAATATTCTTTTTTTTTTTTTTTTAAATGTTTATTTTTGAGAGAGTGTGAGCACGGGAGGGGCAGAGAGAGAAGGAGACAGAAGATCCGAAGTGGGCTCTGTACTAATGGCAGAGAACCCAATGCGCAGCTTGAATTCATGAACTGTGAGATCATGACCTGAGCCCAAGTCGGATGCTTAACCGCACTGAGCCACCCAAGTGCCCCTAAAGAGTGAATATTCTTAAAAGCTGAGGAAACTTGGGGCACCTGAGTGGCTTAGTCAGTTAAACATCTGACTCTTGATTTCAGCTCAGGTCGTGATCTCACAGCTTCATGGGTTCGGGCCCCACGTCAGGCTCTGCACTGTCGGCAGTGTGGAGCCTGCTTGGGATTCTCTCTGCCCCTGCCCCACTTGCACTGTCTTTGTCTCTCTCAAAATAAATAAATACACTTAAAAAATAAAAAGCTAAGAAAACTTAGCTCCTGTGTAGGAAGCAACTACTGGTACACACAACAGCCTAGTAGATCTCCAGGGAATGCTGCCGAGCAAGAGGGGCCAATCCCAAAAGGTTATATTCTGACATATGTTATATGTCCCATGTGTATTACATTCTTGAAACTGGCAAGACTTTAGACTTGGAATACAGAGTAATGGTTGCCAGGAGTTAGGAGAGAAAGCCAGGAGAGAGGCGGGTGTGGTTGTAACAGGACAACTCAAGGGGTCCCTGTGATGTTGGAACAGTCCAGTATCTCAGCTGTGGGGATGGAGACATTGCCCTACACTTGTGATAAAATTGTGAGGCCTTAACATGCACACACCAGTGAGTCAGTATAAAACTGGAAAATCTGAACAGGAAGGTGGGATCATGTCACTTTTGCTATCCTGGTGGTGATACTATATGCAATTTTTCTAAAACACTACCATTGGGAAAACTGGGCAAAGCATACAGGGCAACTTTCTGTAGCATTTTTTACAGCCACATGTGAACCTACAGTTGTCTCCATTAAACTGGAAAAGCTAAGGAAGCCTAAGTGTCTCCACATCTCAAAACTACTTTTCTGACACCACAGGTAGACTTCGATGCCCCACTGGGTTACAAGGAGCCTGAAAGACAAGTCCAGCATGAGGAGTCTGCTGTAAGTTGTTTCACCAACATCCCTCCCCAGCTCCAGCACTGTTTGCCCTCTTTGGTAATGGGACTTTTGTGGGAGGGTGTCCTGGTTTTGTCCTGACAGCTGATTCTCGTTTGGCCTCTGCCGGTGCTGACATGGCCACGTGCCCTGCTCCCGTGGAACAGTGTGTCCCAGCTGTTGGGGTGCCGGGTTGGCAGTAGCAATGAGAGGCCCAAGAGAAAAGCTGGGGTATCCCTGCTGAGAGGCTTATTGCATGATTTCTGTCCCTATCAGGAAGGCGAAGCTGACCACAGCGGCTATGCTGGAGAGCTGGGCTTCCGTGTGAGTACCAGGCCACACATTTAACTTTCTGTATGCCCACTGTGCCATCTGGGGACCTCCGTAGGGACTGGGGCTCTGGGCATCCGTGTACACACATATCTGGCACTTTCTCGGTTACGTGGCACTTTACATCCATTTTCTCCTGGAATCCTCCTAACAGTTCTACAAGGCTTTTCCAATTTTTCTTCTTCTTTTTGAAGATTTCTAACTTACCAAAAAGTTAAAATAGGACACACGTATTCTTCTCTTAGATTGACCAGACATGACGACATTTGCTCTATCCCTAATAACATGGCCTCTGTGAAAGGAAGTTGCAGTGTGACCTCCCAGCGCTGCCGCCAGCCAGCCTCCCTGGGAAGAGGTAGAGATGGCTGGTGTGCTGGCACCAGGGTGCTGGGAGGCAGCAGAGGAGATGGACTAGAAAGTAGAGCTGTGGGGCATTGCAACAGAGGCCTTAGCCCACCCCACCCCTGGGGCCCTGAGCTGGGTGGCCCTGCAGAAGCTAGGGCCAGACCTTTTGACCTGTCATTAGCTATTGGCTGCCCCCGAAGGGTGGCTGTGTTTGGGCCAGGAGGCTCCTTTCATCTCCCTGTAATCCTCTGAGGAGCTGGGCGGAGAGTTCTCGGCTGTCCATACTCCAGCAGCTGGGGAGTGAGGGCTTCAGTTCTTAAGGGGTCTGGACAGCCCACCTCCAACACACATCCCTGCAGCGATCTCTGGGCAAAGGGCATGTGTATGCTCACTAGCTCTTGCGCACTTTCTTGCTCACCTGTCTAGGCCTTTTCCGGCTCTGGAAATAGACTGGATGGGAAGAAAAAAGGTGTAGAGCCCAGTCCCTCCCCAATCAAGCCTGGAGACATTAAAAGGTGGGTCTGTCCCGACTCTGCTCCCGCCTGATGCTTTTGTCATCCTACAGGGAGGCTCTGTGCCAGATTCCTGGGGTGGGGCCACCTCACTGGAGCTCTAGAGACCAAGCCTGGACCAAGGAGGCTGGCAGTATTAATGGATGACCCCTGCCTGTTCTCCTCAGTGGGCTGGAGCACCACCAGAGCCACTGTTTCTGGAGGGGTGGGGAGGGGGACAGTGGGTATTGGTGCCCTTCCTCAACTGCCAAGCCTCTCCCACAGCCTCCATTGGTGCTTCCAGTTCTGCCTCCACCTGTTCCCAAGTAGTACCTGATCAGCTTGCTTTCCTGTTTCAGGTCATTCCACTACCTGTTTAGTAATCTCCCTGTTTTCCTATTTTGTGACTTCAAATAATTCAAGTCACATTATGTCAACTTCCCTCAAACAGGAGGCAGGAACTGCCTTACTTAATGTGTTTCTGTTTAGGGGCCCAGAGACTCTTAGAGCAGTTTCCCTGCTCTGGTGGCCTTCATGGAGGTAGCAGGGATATGTCGTCACCTGTCTACTCTGTGTGTTAGAGCAGAAGGAGAATGCTGGCAGTGTTTTTACCCAGTCTCTTAAGAGAGCTTAAAGAATTCAGTGTGAATGTAGCCCTTGCAGGCTCTATGAGGCTAGAGGACAGAGATGATGAGGCCCCCAAGCCTCCAGGTGACCCCTCCCTGCAGGCCAGGCCCCAGGTCTACGGGCCTCTTCCCCAGTTGCCTTCAGGTTACTTCAGGAAGGATGCTGGGGAGCACCAGAGGGCTGGCCCAAGGCCAGAGTGGGTACAGCAGTGTACCCCAAAATGAGAGTTGTCGGGAGGACACTTGTATCTTCTGCCTGCCTTCCTCTTGATTGCCAAGAATGAATTTTAGGGGTGCCTAGGTGGCTCGGTCAGTTGAGTGTCCGGCTCTTGATTTTGGCTCAGGTCATGATCTCGTGGGTGGTGAGATCGAGCCCTATGCCGGGCTCTGTGCTGACAATGCAGGGCCTGCTTAGGATTGTCTCTCTCCCTCTCTCTCTGCCCTTCCCCTGCTTATGTGCATGCTCGTTCTCTCTCTCTCTCTCTCTCTCTCTCAAAATAAATAAATAAACTTTAAAAAAAACAAGGTATTTTAATGCAGGGTATCTGGGTGGCTCAGTCGGGTAATTGTATGAGTCTTGGTTTGGGCTCAGGTCATGATCTCATGGTTTGTTAGTTTGAGCCCCATGTTAGATTCTGTATGGACAGTATGGAGCTTGCTTGGGATTCTCTCTCCCTCTCTGCCCTTGCCCCGCTTGTGTGTGTGTGCTCTCTTTCTTCCACACCCCCCTCTCAAAAAATAAACATTAAAAAAAAAATGAATTTTAATGCTTTTTTCTCTTGAAACTAACACTTCTCCTCCTTGCTCTCCTTCACAGGGGAATTCCCAATTATGAATTTAAACTTGGTAAGATCACTTTCATCAGAAATTCACGTCCACTGGTCAAAAAGGTTGAAGAGGTGAGTTTATTTTACTGGTAATGAAAAGTTTTATTTGTTAATGATGACTGGAGAGTTCTTTCCATTCTGAATAAGGATGTTTCTGTCATATTTTTCCCCATGCCTAGGGCCCTCCTCTCCCTGGCAGCCTGATTGTCCCGTTGAGACTATGCGGGGAGTGTGTAGGCCACAGCTCTGGTGTCACCTGGCAGTGGTGATCGACACAATACCAGCTCACAGAGCCTTGACCAAGTGCCATAGTTAACTATTTAATCCCCAGCCCCGTCCCTTGAGGTGGCTGCCGTGATTGTCTGCATTTTTACACATGTGAGCCTAAAGATGTGTGGAGGTGAGGGCACCCAGGGTTCAGGGGCAATTCGTGTTATTTCTAGAACACCAGCACTTCAGACCCACCACTCTCCTGGTTCCTTTTCCCTAAGGCTCAGTGTCTTGGGGATCTAGAGTAGGCTAGAGGGCAGATGTTCTGTGAGCCCACTCAGGATCCTGGCTGCAGGGCCATCACCAGCCCCTTGGCCACTGAACTCTTCCCCTCTTCCTGTGGGGTGGTTGGGGATAGAGACCACTACACCGTTTACATATTTCCTACCCCTTTGCATCCCGCCCTGGTCTTAATGTTCCTTGAATTAACACGGTGTTGGGAAACTTCCAGGCTCAGAGGAACCAGTGTGGTTCCCCAATGAGACCTTACCCTCTGACTCCTCCTTGAGTGCCTTTCCAAGCCTTTGCCAGCTACATGCTGGGGCTTGCTGCCTCCAGCTTGGAGGCCTCAGCAGGGCCGTCCTCCAGGCTGACTTGTGACCTGACTGCTGGAGATACAGGAAAGGGAGGGTGAGGCACAGCTGGAGCTGTTTAATCCATAAGTACTGGAGAAGAAATGTGTGGCTGACGATGGGATTGAAGGCACATGCTTAGCGCTACCCCATCCTGAACCCTCAGGAAAGCTGTGGCACAAGGTAATAAGGTAATAAAGACATTGGCAAGAAGAGGAGGCAGCTGCTACAAAACTTTGAAAGCCCCAGAACAGAAGGGGTAACTGACTTCACAGGCCATGGAAGCCACATTCTGAGCTGGCTGTGGGGAAAGCCAAGAGGCAGATTGGTGTAGAGAGTAGAGCTCTGAAAGGCACCTCTGGAAATGGGGGACAAAGATGGAATGTGTGTCACAAAGAACCGAACCACAGCACCTCCTCTCCCCAACCCCCCGCCACTATCCCCATAACCTGCTGGGGATGTACCTGCCTGACCCCAGGAGAAAGCTGGAGGCTCGTCTTCTGGAAGAGGCATCACGACAGGTCCCGAGGCTGGGGCCATCAGTACGGTGGATAGGACTGAACTAAAAGAGCAAATGAGTAACAGTTTGTATCCTGAATGTTGTCACCCTTGATATCCTTCCCTTGCTTGGCTCACACACTGGCTGCCAGACTTGCTTATTGCAGTTGGAGGAGCTTTCTCTGGACAGTCTGATGAACCCTGAGGAATGTGCCAGCCAACTCACCCCAGAGTGAAGACTGTAGTCAGGAAGTTTCTGCTGCTAACCTCTAAATCAGAAGAGTTCTGAAAAGAGATTAGAGAAACTAAAGGGGCAGGAACCATCAGGGAAGTAATTTCCCCAGACTAAAGGGCACAGAGTTTACAGATTGGAGGGCCCCCTGAGCATCCAACACTGTGAATGAAAATAGCCCCCTATTGAGGCAAAGAAGAGAACCTAAAGCTTTCAGAAGGCAGAAAGTGGCTGTACCACAGATTAAGAATGGCATCATTTTAGCAGGACACAGGAAGCTAGGAGATCTTGGAGCAGTGTCTTCAAAATTCTGAGAGGGAACTTTTCTAAAAAGTTCTGTACCCAACTCTTACAGGCTGAACTATATTCCCCCAAGTCCTGTGTTGAAGCTCTAACACCCAGCACCTCAGAATATGACTGTATTTGGAGATAAAGGCTTTTACGGGAGGTGATTAAGTTAAAATGAGGCCATTAGGGTGGCCCCCCAACCCAGTCTGACTGGTGCCCTTGTAAGAAGAGGAAAGTTAGCTGTACAGAGGGAAGACCATGCGTGTGAGGACATTGCAAAAAGACAGACATCTGTAAGCTAAGGAGCGAGGCCTCAGAAGAAACCGAACCTGTCAACACTTTGATCTTGGACTTCCAGTCTCCAGAACCATGAGAAAATATCTGTTGTTTAAGCCACCCAGGCTGTGATATTTTGTTATGGCAGCCCCAGCAATCTAACACCAACCAAACCTATCAGGGAAACGTGAGAGTAGAAAAGGCTAATTTCAGATATGTAGGATCTCACAAAAAGGTATTCCTCAAACACCCTTTCTCAGGAAGCATCTGGAGGATGTACCCTACTAAAATGAAGGAATAAAGTAGAAATAAGAAAGCCTTAGGTCCAGGAAATAGGGAGCCCTGAAGCCATTCGTAGCACCAAGAGGATGGCCAGTCCAGGTAGGGCAGCTTAAAGGCCCTATGAGATGCACCTGCAAACAGACAAAAACAGCGGGGTGCCTGCTGTGATTGAATGTATGCAGAAGAGAGAAGCCAGACACAGGGACAGCAGGACAAGACAGAAGGCTCTGCAGAAAAGGAAGGCTGATTGGTTTAGCTATGACTCAACTTGACATGGTTGCCACCACACCAGTACACTCCTGCATGGAGGTCAGGAGGGGCAAGTGCAGGCAGGGGCACGTACTATGGAGTGTGAAATCCTCTTGCACAGATAACGCCTCCAAGTGACTAGCAAATACAAACTGATGAAAAGATACCTGCTGTTTTCAGGAGTTCAGAAAAAAACAAGCCCTCTTTCTTTTGGTGGGAAAATAGCTTGATTGAATGTTTCTGAGGGCTGGTTAGTGACCATAATATTAAAAGCCTTAAAAATAACACACAGTCCTTTTATGGAAGAATAATACTTCTAAAAAAAAAAAAAAATCAGAGTTGCGGACAAACACAGTAAGCTGCTCACCACAACTGTTTACAATACCGCAAACCTGGTAGTAACATCCAGTGGTGGAAGACTGCCTCTCCCACATGATGGAATTTTCTGTAGCCTATACGAGAAAAGAAATTCATTGACTTGAGACTCGGGAAGTATAATAGGTCATATATAGTCATATATAATAAAGTGGCTGGAAATATTTTTGGGTGGTGAAATTACAGATGATTCTTCTTTTGGGGTGTATTTTATATTTTTTACATTTTTCCATTTTGAAAATGTGATTCTTCTGCAAAAGGATGTACATTCAACCTGAGAATAAAGGCTGTGGTAGAGGCATAGCTGTGATTCTGTGGTTTTGTTTCTCAATTCAGTAGACTATGATTTATGTTTCCACTTCAAAGACATTTCTTCTTATGTATAATGTGGAAGTGAGGAAAATGGGTGGCTGGCACATGAGTCAACAGAATAAAGCATTTATTCTAAGCCTCCAAGGAGTTTCTGAAAATAGTATTTTATCTTCACACTTAGGATGAAGCTGGAGGCAGATTCGTCGCTTTCTCTGGAGAAGGACAGTCGTTGCGTAAAAAGGGAAGAAAGCCATAAGTTGGGACTGTTGGCTGATTGGAAAATAAAATAATCAATTGCAACATAATGGCTTTTAGTTACTGGCTCTGATGGGATTAGACTGTTGCAGAGGATGCTGTCACTTTGTGTTTTGTTTAGAGTTACCTAAGAATTACTGAGTCTGACCTGGAAGTGGAACAATCAGACTTGGTGGTTGATTTTGGGAAGGAGAAAGCTCACTCTGAGATCCCATAGGCAAGCCTCCTCCTTGCCCCTTCTTGTTTTCAGCCCTTGGGGGTGCTCCCACTGCCTTAGCCAAAGCAGAGTTCCCCAATTCCTGATAAAAACCAATGGAGGGGATTGGGTTGCTCTAACTTGAGGTGTTGTTTCTCTTTTTTCACTTAATCCTCTCTTTTCCCAGGTTGATAGCTTAGAACATTGCCTTTGGCCTAGAAAAAATGGCTAGATATGTGCTCTGTAAATAGTGGTTATCCCATTACTCTGGCTGCAATTTAAGTATATGAGGAAGGGTGTTTCTATTTTTATTTTACATATTGATTTTTTTTTTTCAAAAGAACCATCAGAAGGTGGATTCCTGATCTGAATACATTTCCACTTGTATTTTGATTTCATATGGAAATATGAGTGAATAAACCTAAATGAATCTGTTCTACAGTAAAACAACTTCATGATGAAGCACAAATACAAATTAGAATAAATAAGTGCTAAAGGTACATTCCTCTTTCTCCTTCCCTACCTCCCACTCCCAGTTTTAATGTATTAAATTATCCAAGGTTCTGCTGGCCTATCTTTTTTATTAATATTAATTTGGTCTCAGATCACTTTCTATAATGTGAGATCTTTTGACATGTTAATCTAATTTAATCTCTTTTGTTCCTTGAAAATAATTTTACATCAAGAATTTCAAATAAAAATGGGCAATGACTAAAACCTGGATTGCTTCCAAATGTTTGATTAGGTACCAACATGGGTTGCCCCAACCGGGCCTCCAACCAGAAGTTGGAGGAAGACTTGCTTGCAGGTGTCCCTTGTTCCATCCTGCCATTAGAAAAGAGCTTCTGTGTAGGACTTCTGGAGAATGTAGGGAGAAGTGAGGTTCTCTGAACCCTGTGTTGGGATTGTCAGCCCGAGCAGGGTCTCCTCTTGTACCAGGACTCCTGCTTGAAAACAGAGGATTCCATCTCTGGACAGAGCTCCTTGAACACTCAAGAGAGGATGCCCCCTTCAGGATGGTTGCTCCAGGGTCCACCCACATGTCATCAAGTCAAGAGAATAGATGATTGTCATGAAGACAAGAGCTGGACTATTGCCCAGACTGTCACCACTGATGATGGACAAGGTATTAAGAGGCATGAAGCACTGCTGTGACTTTCCTGACCCTCCACTTAAGGGGATCTCTCTTTCACTAGCTGAAATAGAATCCCTCCTTGGTGGGTAGGCAGCCTCCATTTGCAGGATCACACTGGCTAATGTATCATTTGATGCCTAATGAATATTAAAGTAAGGCACTGGCCTTGGGTTTTCGTCTTTCCTAAGCAACATCTACAGTGTATGCAATAAAACCACTCCTGGTGCTTTGCTGGAGCCACACTTCTTTTTGCCTGGGCTGCAGGTGGACTCTTTTGGTGGGCCTTCTGGTGATATAGAGGGGAGGGGTCACCCTGTCATTACTGCTGCCCCCTGGTCTGCAGCCCTCTCTGTCTTCAAGCTTGGTCTATGAGCCAGCTTGGCAGGACTCCTGGTAAAATTGCAGCATTCTGGCCCACCTTGAGAGTCTGACCCTGTCTCATTCCTGGGGTGGGTCCAGCAACTGCATTGTAAGAGGCTCCCCAGCAGATGACTAAGTTTTCCCAAGTTGGAGACCCACTGCATAGGTATTGCAGGACTACTCAGATTCACTAGCTTCTTTGCTTTTATTTCCTCTTGTGGACCTCTTTTGTTTACAAACTTTCCATGTCTTCCCATGTCTCAGAGTAAAGCCTTCATTCCTAATCAGACATACAAACTGCCCCATACTTACTTATTAAGGCTTCTTCTCTGCCCCTTGTCACACGCAGCCTCCATGCCTTGGACCAGCCTGCCACTGTGGTGGAAACATCCTTCGCTAGCCTCCACTACTAGCCTGGGTTCCTTCAGGACATCTTTGGGCTCTCTAGACCCCCGCCCAGCCAATACAGGTTATTTTGTGAGTTCACCCTCACCCTCAAGTGGACACTCAAGTGAAACTACTGTAGCCGCAGACATGGCAGCTTCGTCACATGGAGTTGATGCTCAGTATGTGCTTATGAAAATGAGCCCTATCTTTTGAGGTTTATGAAAATGAAACCGGCCTGGACCCCGTGGTTTCAGAAATAGGTAACGAAGTGCTACCTGGGCCGCCCGCCAGACACCAGGCAGCTGTCTTTCCTTTGGCCTCCAGGATGGACTACAGACTCTTACCCTCGGGCCCCCCCCCCCCCCCCCCCCCCCCCCCCCCCCGCATCCCTTGGGCCTCATGGGCCCCGCCTTTCCACGTGCCACCGCCCCCGAGTGTTATTGGCTGTTCTGCCCTGATGTCTTGTTTATTAGCTCGTGACTAGGAGGTGGGTGAGGAGTTATGGGCATATCTCTGAGTTCATTGGTTCGTCAATCCGTCAATCATACGGTGCGGGCTTTCTTCAATTTTCATTGGCTAGCGAGTTCAGAGGAGGGATTCGGCAGTCGCCCGGTAATGGCGGATGGTGGCGGCTGGCGGGTAAGTGCTGGGGGCGCCCGGGAAGTGGGGGGAACCTCCTCGGACCTTGTGACCGGATTATCCGAGCCTTCGTCCAAGGAGGAGGCGGGATGGGCATCTGGGCGGGCAGCGCAGAGGCCTCCGGCTCAGGCGAGCTTCTCACTGCAGCCGCCGCGCCCCTGCGAGACCTACAGCGCTGAATGGAAGCTCTGCCGCAGCGCGCGGCACTTCCTGCACCACTACTACGTCCACGGCGAGCGGCCAGCCTGCGAGCAGTGGCGGCGCGACCTGGCCAACTGCCGAGAGTGGGAGGAGCGCCGGAGCGCGGAGGCCCAGGTGTGCCAGGGAGCCAGGGGTGGCGCTGGGCCGAGGGGGTGTATTGCTGAAGCGTCCGAGTGCACGGATCACGCCCTTCCCACGTTCCAAGTCCTGAGACGTCGGAGAGCAGTACTCACTGGGTCCCTCCTCTTTTTGTGCTTCCTTTCTTTTGAGAAATACGAAAAATTAGCATACCATCGGGGCTTTCATACATTGAAGACAAAGGAGGAAAGTTTAGAGTTTGGAGGGAGAGAGTGTTAGTGTTCTTAGCAGGCCTGCAGAGAAGGGGATATTGGGGAGGCCTGAAAAACCAGAAACCAGCCTTAAGAACCTTCACCCAGACCCAGGCGGGCACATCTGAAGAACAGAAAGAAGGTCCAGGTGTTTGGAGCAGAAGGAGGGTGGGCTGTAGAGAGGTAGGGGGTGAGGCTGGAGAGGTACCAGGTGGTATCTGGTGGGCCTTAAAAAAGGGTTTAGATTCAAGTGTAAACGTGTGCTGGGAAGTATGACTTGATTTGTATCTTTAAAAGGTCAGTTTGACTGCCATGGTGGGAGAATGTATTATGGAGGGGCAAAGAGACCAATGAGGAGATAGTTCTAGTTTTCCATTCATTCAGCGGATACTTATCATGATGGGAGCTCTTAGAGATACAGGAGTGATGAAAACCGAGCCCCTGCCCTTCTGGCACCTTCCGTGCCTTAGAGCTGTTTTTGGTTGGGGAGATGGAGAGAAGCTTGAAGGTGCAGTGCTCATGGGAAAGGGGTGAGGGCCCAGCAGGACTGGGGACTGCTTCAGCATGGTTAAATGTATGTGATTATTGAAACAGACAAACAGATATGGAAACCAAGCTCCTGTATAAAAGAAAGTGATGACAAATCCATAAGTGGAAATCAAAAAATTTTAAACAATAGCTTATAGCCTATACAGGAAGAGGTTAATGACTTTTTTTTCTTTCTTTTTTTAAGAGAGAGCTCATATATCAGTAAGAAAAATGGGGAGTGCGTGGGTGGCTCAGTCAGTTAAGTGTCAGACTCCTGGTTTAGGCTCAGGTCATAATCTCATGGTGTGGGTTTGAGCCCCAAGTCATATTCTGTGCTGACAGTGTGGAGCCTGTTTTGGATACTCTCTCTTACCCCCTCTATCTACCCCTCCCCTGCTTGCTCTCCATCTCTCTCTCTCTCTAATTAAACAAACATTAAAAAAAAGATTAAATGGGGATTATTTCAGAATAGAAAAGTTTGGCAAAGGGCAGGAAGAAGGAATTCATTCAAAAAAATCAAATGGCCTGGGATACAAGGTCAGATGACCAGTGGTTTCTGCCCAGTGACACATCAGAAGTGTCTGTAAGGATGTGGAGAAGCAGGGGTACGTGTGCAAGTGTTTGTGGAGTGTTACGTGTTCTGATTATCCAACAATTCCATCTGATTATCCAAACGAATACCTTTTGACCCCCTAGTTTTACTTCTGAAAGTCCATCCTAGGGAAGTAATTGGGTAACAGTGCACAGTTAAAAGTTTAAAATATCCATTGCATCACTATTTGTGATAGCACAAAACCTGAAAGCATCCTAAATGCCACTAATAGACATTTAACCAAATAACTTCCTCCAAACAGTGGGGTATTACATAGCCATTAAAAAGAATAAATAGCGAATCTATCTGGGCAGGGAAAGGAACCTGTAGTATATGGTTTAGTGAAAAACTGAGGAAGTACAATAGCCAGTAGATTATTCCATCATCAGGGAAATGTGTAGCATTAAAATTTAGTTCTAAAATTGTGTTGAGGAAGCTGTGAATTTCACCTCAGTTCCAGAAGTCTGGGAGTTTTTCATGTTCTTTGCATTGCTGATTGCTTTTTAAACAAGAACAAAAACATTGAGACAGTTGAGCTCTAGCAAAGACAATTAGAGAAGGTGAAATTATATGTGTAAAAAGGCTAGTCGAACACCTGGTGCCTACCAAGTGCACCTTTCATGGTGGTAAGGTACTGCCCTGTGTTTATTTGGCAGGGAGCAGGTGGGGGGAGGTGCGGGAGTGGCAGAGAAAAGCCTGCTGGTTGAGTGTCACCTATTGTCTTTCATCTAGATTCCTCCTTGCCTGTCTGGGGCTCCCTGCTCATGTGTCTCTTGCCTTACCCTCCCAACTCTAGCCACTCTTTCAGACTCTTGTTTCTCTTCTCAGCCCCATCCTGGTCTCAGGAGGTAAACCTGATTAGGTCGACCGAAAGCATCAAGCCCTGAGACCCAGGAGAAGACATTTTAAAATTTACTCAAATTATGGTGAACTGCACAATAGTTTTTCACAGTAGCTTGGGAGAAAGTATGATCTATATGTGTGTGTTCTAATACGGAACAATCGCCAAGGTTTATTAGGTGGAAGCAGCCAAGTTTGTCTGACTTGTGTTTGGGAGGGTGCTATGGAGGAGGGAGGTTCAAGGGCCATGTGAGCCAGAAGTGATTGGGGTCTCCTTTGCACAGCAGTCCCTCTGTGAGAGTGAGCGTGCAAGAGTCCAGGCTGCACGGAAACACACCCTCGTGTGGGCTCTGAGGCAGAGCCCTCCTGCAGACTGGCACCTCCCTCTGCCACAGGAGGAGAAAGACCAGTGACAAGCACTCCTGAATGGCTTCCCCTGATCTAAGTGGGGCTATCGCAGGACCCTAAGGACAGTGACTGGCCAAAAGAGTCTAGTCGGTCCCTGAGAGCTTCTACCGCCTAGAACACAGAGCCTGAGGTCTCCAGCCCTACTTGCGCACCCTTCACCTGCATTCAGAGGAACTGAACCTGAACTGCACCTGCTGCTGCAATGCTCTGAAAGACAATTTCACCCACTGCACAGCTTCCAGGATGCCAGACACCACTGCAGATCCCAGTGAGCAGCCAGGTCAGGCTGGTTCATGTTCCCCTCTTGGGGACAGCAGCATTCTCAGGTAAATTCTTGAGTGGTAGCCCTGACCCAAGTGGTCATGTAGGGGGATCAGAATGAGGTAGCTAAATGGTTGTGTTGTAGTGAATGCCTTTCCTGGTCCTGGATTTGGTGAAACTGCATTGCCAGTCCCTGGTGCTTACACAGAGCTACAGCCCACTCAGTTCCTCTGCGGACACAGATGGGGTGTTTCTTCTCCTACGAGATAGGCCTCTTGAAGACTCTGGTTTTTAAGAAATGAACACAGGTACAGAATACACAAGCTTGCGTTAAAAGGGTTCATAGACTCTTGGCTTAAGAAAGCCAAGCCCGAGACACAATGGAATTTTGGTCTCTTTCCTTCAGAATATCCCTTGGTCATTTTTAGAAAATGTAGATTATATCAAAAGCCATTTCACATATTTTATTCCAAACAAAAGCTGACCATTAAATCCACAATTTAATAGTTGAGATTGTTAGATTTAGCACCTGACATTGTTGTACTGGGAGAGTTTTGGGATTTTGTGTGCTTATACTCTTGTAGATGTTTTAAAAATATATGCATATGAACCAACAAGAACTCTAGTTCTTGAAGAGGTCTTTTTATTACTAATAATTTTGCATCTTGTGGCTGCATAGCAGGCCCCATTGTATGGTGCTGAGGGTGAGGCTGGCTGTGTGCCCAGCACCCTCCCTGCTCCTTCCTGGCCAGTGAGGCCCACCGCATTTTATTTGTTTATTTTTTAATGCTTATTTTTGAGAGAGAGAGACAGAGTGTGAGCAGGAGAGGAGCAGAGAGAGAGGGAAACATAGAATCCGAAGCAGGTTCCAGGCTCTGAGCTGTCAGCACAGAGCCCGATGCGGGGCTCGAACCCACGAACTGTGAGATCATGACCTGAGCTGAAGTCGGACACTTAACCAACTGAGCCACCCAGGTGCCCCGGGCCCACCGCATTTTAGTACTTCTTCACGACTGGGCCCCAACCTGGCCAGAAAGGACATGTTTTAACTCCACCATCTTTTAACACACTCTTCGGGGCAAAATAATCCCATCACTTCAGAAAGGCATACATTAAAGAAAACTTTGCCTTTTCATGTGCATTTTCTCCTTTGCTATGTCGAGTCCCTGTGACTGCATGTACCTGTAAATGTTAGGGGATCTGCGCGTAGGTCCTCAGTAGCCTTTCCTGAGTGTGTATGTACTTGTGAGTGGGGGGCAAGGGGAGAATGTGCACACAGGTCCCCAGTGGTCCTTCCTTGTGACTGTATACCTGGGAGTAGTGAGGGGTGTGCACATAGGTTCCAGTAGCCTCCCCCTGTATGTTTGTACCTGTGAGGTGAGGGGGGGGGGGGGGGGGGGGGGGAGTTGTGTGCACCTAGGACCCCAATAACTCCTTCCTGTGTGTGTATGTACCTGTTGAGTGGTGGGGATGTGTGTACACAGGTTCCCTATGGTTTCTCCCTGTGTGTGTGTCCCTGAGAGTGGTGTGGGTGTGCACATAGGAGCCCAGGAACAGAGGTGAGTATAAAGAGCCCATCCCAGGGTGGGGTGCCTTCACATCTGAGTCAACCAGGGTATCTCTTTTGTGGTGTGGCTACTTTCTGGAGCATTTTAGGCCAAGAAGGAGAGGGAAGGCTGCTGGCGATCTACGGGCATCCTCTTCACTCGGAAACATAAGGGATATTTGAATTTTCCAATCTGCATATGATCCCTTGGGCTTCCTGGGGCAGGGCTGCAATAGCAGCCAGCAGTCCTGAAGGGCTCACCTCAAGGGATCCACACTCTACGTGCTTCTTTAGGGCCGGGGGCTGCCTGCCACTGACTGCTCTGTTAAGAAGTCTTATTCCTTCTCTGCTACTCAGTGAGTTCCACGTTGACAAATAATCATCATTGCACAGAATGTTCCTACACCTCCTCCTGTGTTCACCCTTCACAACATCTGAGCACCTGCTACATGCCAGGAGGGCTCAGGCTCTAGGATTGCAGTCTTGAAATGGGCAAGTTACTTCAAAGAGTTTTAGTTGAGTTTAGGAGACAGACAAAACATTTAAACATCATTAAATAAGTCTAAAGTAATGTTAAGTGCTGTGAAGAAAATAGAGCAGGATCTCTTAAATTTCTCTTATGAAACCCATAATAACGGGTTTTATGATCTGTACATACTTTGTATACAGCATATATGGTTGAAACAAGTTTCACAAAACAATCCTTGTATAGTGTGGTACACTGACATTTTCAGTTCTGTGCCACTGAAAATAAACTGCTGCACATGTGGCAACTTGGGTGAAACTCAAGGAAACCATGCGGAGTTAAATGGATACATATGATAGTTCCATTTATGTAACACTGGTGAGATGATGTAATTATAGATGGAGAATGGTTACTGCTGCCAAGGGTTAGGGATGGGAAGAGGGATGTGGATGTGGCTATTAAGGGGCACACAAGGGCATTCTGTGGTAATGGAACCTTCACATATACAGAGCTGAATGTGTGATGACATTTTGTAGTGCTAGGCATACACACAGATGATTGCAGACATAGTGGGAAATCTAAATACACTCTAGGCTGTACCTATGTCAGTCTCTGGGTACTGACACTACTTGGTGTTTAAGATGTTGACACTTGAGACTGGGAGAACCACACACAGCCCCTCCCTGCATCCTTATTTCCAACCTCCTGTGAATCTGTAACTACTTCAAAATAAAAAGTTAAAACTGCTGGCCATGACCCCATGAATTGATTATATAACCTAATGGATGAAAACTGTTCGAAAAGCACTACTGCAAAGCACCTGCAGTAGGCAGGGAGGTGGGGAAGGCAACATTGGAGCCCAGACTTGGATTAAGAGGCTTGAGCCTTGTAGAGAAAGGGGCACACAGGCCACAAGGAATAAGTAAGTGCCATGTGCAGACCAGGGGAAGGTGGATGGGGGGCTGTAAGGTGTAATCAGGGTGGTCAGGAGCCAAATGCGTGACCTGGCTTGTGCTTCACAGAGCCCTCTGGTTGCCTTGCAGAGGAGCTTGGCAGGGGCAAGGGGAATGCCCACATGGAGAGATGAGTTGGCTGCTGCAGTGGAACAGGCAAAAGTTGGCAATGGCGTGGACCTCAGAGGTAGCAATGAGGTGAAAAGTGGCTGGATTCGGTGACTGGCTCATAGGTAGAGCCAAAGAACTTAGAATCCTTAGGCAGGTTTTTCTCCGGTAAAAACATTTATCTAAGTAAACCAGAAGTGAACCACACACTAGGAAAACCTGAAGTCTTACTCAATTGTTTCCCCAGTTTATCAGCACTAAGGTAGTGAAGAACCCAAAGCTTTTCTGAGGTGGCTAGCAGGCTCTATTTGTTCACTTGACCTTCACTATTTATGGCCTGAATTGTGCCCCCCGCCCCATTCCTATGTTTAAGCTTTAACTCCAAGTATGTCAGAATGGTACTTTATAGATAAGATGCTGAAAGAGGTAATTAACTTAAAATGGGATCATTAAAGTAGGCTGTAATCCAATTTGACTGGTATCCTTATTAAGAGAGGCACAGAAGGATGATGACCCCGTGAGGACACTGAGAAGGCAGCTCTGCAAACTAAAGGAGAGAGGTTTCAGGAGAAACCAATGCTGCCAACCCCTTTGATCTTGAGAGTTCTGGCCTCCAGAACAACTGTTGTTCAAGCCTCTTGGTTTAGGGTACTTTGTTCTCGCAGCCCAGCACATTAATACGTTCACTGTTCTAGACTAACAGCACTTGAATAAGAGGGGTGCCATGTGCTCCTAGGGGACACAGCAACTTTAGTGTGTCCCAGGCTTGCTCCAGTCTCTTCAGCCTCCCTTCCCAGCCTAAAACCCAAAGCTGGCCCTGCCAAAGATACAAGGAAACCCAAGTGCTCCATCTGCCCCAACGAGAAGGTTCTGCCTGTCTGCACAGGCGTGCGATACACAGTACAAAACCTGCATATCCTTCATTTCTCCTTGAGGTACTTTGTGCCTCTTGCTGGTGGTGTCTGCCCCACAGGATTGGAATCTTTTTACTCAAAGTCTTGGCCATTCATTCCCCAATACCAGACAAAGAAGGGTAGCATCTCTCACCCCCATCCATTCTCAGGTGAATTAATTTTGACTCTAACATAAAACAGACACTTGATTAAACATTTATTCACAACGTGCTTGAGTCCTGTTCTGGCTCTAAAGGCAGCCTGCAGCTCTACCTCTTAAACTCCACCTGTGTATACACCTTGGTGATGTCATGGTACCTGCCTTCAGGGGGCTGGTAGTTGGAGACTGGTGGCGTGTAATCTGGCCCTTCTTTTTCAAAGGGGAACAAATTGGGGTCCCGCTTGGTGGCCTCCGCATGTAGCTCTGGGGACAGGAGTTGCAGCTCCTGCAGAGCTTCCTGTTGGGCCTCAAGCATGGACTTGATGGCATCTCTCTCCATCTCATGCTCTCGATGCTTATACAGGGACCACTTCTTCAGAAGCAGAGCTCTCCGCTCACTCTCCTCAAAAGGAAGCTCCATGTGAGGCCGCTGTCTGGGAACACACAAATCCAAAGGTGTGAAGTTGGGGATCACCAGTGTCACTGGCCAGGCAGTCTGGGTGACTGCATATGACCCAGCCCTCCCCACTGCCAGAAACAGATGAGACTTTGAGAAAAACATGGAAGTTAGGGACAAAATAAAGAATGGAATGTTGGGGCGCCTGGGTGGCGCAGTCGGTTAAGCGTCCGACTTCAGCCAGGTCACGATCTCGCGGTCCGTGAGTTCGAGCCCCGCGTCAGGCTCTGGGCTGATGGCTCAGAGCCTGGAGCCTGTTTCCGATTCTGTGTCTCCCTCTCTCTCTGCCCCTCCCCCGTTCGTGCTCTGTCTCTCTCTGTCCCAAAAATAAATAAACGTTGAAAAAAAAAAAAAAAAAGAATGGAATGTTGGTGTAACAGCTGTAACTGACACTGGAAGCCAGTGCTATTTGCTTTATGTGGACGCAAGAAACAGCGATGCTCTAAGAAAATTGGTAGCACTTCCTCTGCCCCAGGCTGAGACTACCTTTGGGGAGAGGTGACTTTTCAGTGAAGTGGTGTTATGAAAATGGACACCCAAATCCCAGGGAGTCAAGAGCCCAGATCAGCCCACTAGAGTACCAAAAAAGCACGTGCCATGTCCCATAGGTATGGCAAAGTGCTACTTTATAAATGGTACACTTTTTACACGGCAGCACACAACAAGCCTACACACAACACATGCCAACTATGAGCATTTGTATCATAAAGCTTGAGGCTAAGTGTTTTCTACCATCAAGATGGGGCAAGGGCTGCAGACCCAAGACCCAAGTCATCAGTCATATAGCTAAAACTCCTCTTGCAAGAAAGCAACAATATGAACTGGCTTATCAAACAGTTATTCCAAGTTTCTTTCCCATCTCAGCCATTCAAGAGCACCACCAAAGAATGCTTTTGCCAACTGAGGTGCCTGCGTGGCTTAGTTGGCTGGGTGTCTGACTTCAGCTCAGGTCATGATCTCGTGGTTCGCCAGTTCAAGCCCTGCATCAGGCTCTCTCCTGTCAGCACAGAGCTGCTTGGATCCTCTGTGTGTGTCCCCCCACCTCCCCCCCCGGCTTTTGTGCTCGCTCGCTCTCTTGAAAATAAATATTTAGGGGTGCCTGGGTGGCGCAGTCGGTTAAGCGTCTGACGTCAGCCAGGTCACGATCTCGCGGTCTGTGAGTTCGAGCCCCGCGTCGGGCTCTGGGCTGATGGCCCAGAGCCTGGAGCCTGTTTCCGATTCTGTGTCTCCCTCTCTCTCTGCCCCTCCCCCGTTCATGCTCTGTCTCTCTCTGTCCCAAAAATAAATAAACGTTGAAAAAAAAAAAAAAAGAAAATAAATATTTAAAAAAGTAAAAAAGAATGCTTTTGCCAACTCCCACAAGACAGTCAAGGAGAAAAGGACTCAGACCAGGACCTAGTCACCCCACACCCACTCACCCCTTCCTGTCACAGGCATGAAATGCAGACAAAACTAGCCAAAGATGATGGAACTCTTTTTTGTCCTGAGAACCTCAACCCTAGAGGACCCTTACCTTGCTTTATCCAAGAGCTTCACAGGTGTTATAAAATCTTCAATGGGGATTAGCTCCTGGCTAGCTTTCTCCAGTCGTCTGATTCTCTTTTTCAAACGGTCCTTTGCTGCTTGGTCTTTTTTAGGATCTACCTTTTTCTTTTTTCTCAGAGGTTCCGCTCTAATGGAAAAGCAAACATTAGACATTTTCCTCTTCAGGTTCAGGAACATGCTGAGACATGGCACTAGGTGAAGTGCCCTGAACTTATACTGAGCTCTCCACTGGGGAAGGAACTATGCAGGGGTCTAACCTCACCAGTGGAGTGTGTAAGGGAGATGGCCTCCAATCCAGGATCCTTGTGAGAACTGTCGGTACTGTTAAGCCAGGAAGGGCTAGAAAAACTTCATATGGCATCAGGATATAAATTAAAAGTACTCATCTTTAGTGTTGGGTTCAGGTGTGCCTTGGGGTTGCAATGGAAACTGAAAATACTAAACGGATGAATTAGAAAATCATTACGTTATAAATGGATTTGTGATTTTTTATTAAAAGTGATTTTAGTAAGACTAAGACAGTATAATAAAAGTGACTGGCATATCCCTATTTACTTTTCAGGATTTCTTAACAAATTTCCCCATCCTAGAGCATTGACAAAAGTCTGATGTACTCCTGAGAACATATATCCTCTGGTGATAATATACTACTAAAAATTAAATTCTCTAGCATCAAGACTGAGCTTTGTGAATCAAGTCCCTAGAAAGTATCCGGACTCCTAGGTGGGAAATCTAGTCCTCATGCCTCTCCCCACCTCTCCAGGGAAGCAGAAATGGAAGGCCCATGGAGAAACAAGTCTATGCTGTGTCCTTTAAAACATACAAGAATCCCTCTAAAACTAATTTTTATTTAAACCACTTTTAAGTTAAATTTTTGTTTTGTGTTTACAGACAGCAGTGTTCCACATATAGAATGCTGAAAGACAGAAAAGCATCTGCCAAAATTTTACTGAGAAAATTTGCAGGAAATTAATTTTGCAAACAATGTCCAGTGGTCTCTTGCTTTCTTCTGTTCATATGCACATCAGTCTCCCGCTGACACCCCCAAAGAGGTCAGGCCCACGGTAGTTTACCTCATGGGAATGAGTTCCCAGAAGGAAAATAATGAAGCTCGCTGGTGGGTGTCTCTAATCTGTGTCTGCCAAGTTCCCAGAAGCCTGAAAGAGACAGGATATATAAATGTCTGATTCTCCCCACTGAACAGGAAAAAGGGAAAAAATTATGATACTCAAAATCTGGGGCCCTTGTAACTATTGGATGTGACGACGAGGTC